TTCAATCTGATTTTATGCTTGAAAAACTAACCCATTTGGAGCCGGAGCAACCGAGTAGTATTGTTCCCTTTTCACAGATCCTAGAGGAAGAATCACCAGAAACAATACAAAGGAGTTTGCCATTGTCTAGTGAATTGGAAAAGCCAACCAGCCTTGTGCCAGATCATGTCCTTATGCCATTTCCTTTTGACTACCCAAGAAAGCACTGTAAGGAAATTGATTTGGTTAGGACATATCCTAATTTGTTTGCGATGATTTCTGCTGAAGATGAAAAACGTTTTGGTTTGGAAAATGTGAAAGAATTTCGTGTTTCAAACTCTGTTTTTGATAAAATGATTCCAAGTTTTGAAACGCTCACACCTGGAAAGTTCTTTAAGCCAAAAGATTTTATGTTTGATGAATTTCGTGAATTTTGCTCTCCTTTGAGAGTTTCTTTGTGTCACAACACGTTTGAGCTGATTAAAACTAAAGCAGAGTTTATAATGGTTAAAACTTTGTCTAAAATGGAACAAAACGTATTCTGTGATGTTAATGAACCTTGCAAACCAACTTTCAAAGATCATGTTCTTGAACAAAGCTTTTCTATGTTTGCAAAGGATATTTCTCTTTCTAGTAAAACATTGCTTATTCTGAACTATGTCAAAGATTTTTGGTGTTCTAATCACATTCTTATTTGTGATAAAATGAATGAAATTGATAAAATGCATTCGAAACTTGCCTTCGATAGCATGTTTGATCCTCTTAAGGACTTGTTTGATTATTCCAGTCGCACATTTGATGTGTTTTCTTTAGTGTTTGTGAAAGCAAATAAAAGACATGTTAAGAACTCAAAGGCAGGAATGATTCAAGTTCTCACTAATCAAGTTGATTATGGACCAAAGAAGCTTGGAAAAGTTGTCAAGGCTTTTTTGATGTTCAAAGACAAACCACCCGATGTATTATTCCCTAAGATAAGTACTTCTGATCTCAAATTTTGTTTGCCCCTTGATCACACAGATATAATGCGCTTGTCTATGTCAAAAGAGCCAATTACAGGTTTTGGAGCAGCCTTGAAGCGTACAAGAAGAACCGAGAAGAGGGAGGAACACAAACTATATAAACCACCTGATTTGGAACAGGATAAACACCAAGACGTCAGTTGTCTCATGCTGATGAAAGAGGAGCCACCAGACGCAGCATACAAGCCAAAACCAAGCCAAAATATAAATGGAGGTATATCTCTAACCCTTTTCGATTACTTTTGTAT